AAAATCCCAGTAGATCAGCAGTTTCTGAAATACTCAGACCAGCCGGTCTGGCATCAGCGACCATGCCTTGTTCAAAGTCACTTAAATCCTGTCTTCCTCATTCTGATGTTCGGTTTGAACTGCAGCAGATCGTTTTGACCATGTCTACATGCCTAAATGCATCGAGTTGCTGCCATGTGATTGGCTGATTAGAAATGTACGTTATCGAGGAGTTGGACAGGTGTACCTAATAAAGTGGCCGGTGGGTGTAATTATATAAAAACAATACAATTATTTTTGAGATAGATCTTTGGAGAGCAGAAGAAACTTTTCTTCTTTTAAAGAAACATTAAAACAATAATAATTACTGAACCCTATCTAGTAAAGATCGCATTGTATATTAGAAATAGATAGATTTAAAAAAAAAACTAATTAAACCTCATTTTTTTTAATCATTAAATAAGTTAATTATTTACTAAGCGCAAGCCTTGAATAGAGCAGTATATAAAATATGGCATATTAATAACACATTTAACCTACTTAATTATCCAATTGTAGATAAAGAATGAATATCCAACTAATTTAGTTTGCTGAGAGTCCAGTGTGTGGCCCCAGGTGTGTGTGTGTGTGTGCGTTATACACAGAGTCAGGACTCTGTATAGTAAACAAAAGCTGATTTTTGCCCACCCACATGAGCAATGGTTACGTCAGAAAGAAAGTCATTTCAGAGACAGAGAAAGTTATTACTCTTGATAGATTCTGAGTCTGGAAAAAGATGCACCTGATGAACTGCACACGGTATGGCCAGCAGACCTTATTTAGCCAGTAAATAGGATGAATTTCATGCAGGCTTTATCTCTCACCGCTGACAGGAGATGAGGATCACAGAGGAGGGAGAGAGAGAGAGAGAGATGCAGTTGAAGTCAAAATTATTTTGTATAAATATTTTAACAAAGCGAGAAATGTTTCACAGTATTTCCCATAATAGTTTTTCTTCCGGGTAAAGTTTTATTTATTTTATTTCGGCTAGAGTAAAAGCGGTTTTAAATTGTTTTTAAACTATTTCAAGGTCAATATCATTGACCCCTGAAGGAATTTTTTTTTTATATTGTCTCCAGAACAAACCACTGTTATACGATGACTTGCCTAGTTACCCTAATTACCCTAGTGAAGCCTTTAAATGTCACTTTAAGCTGAATGCTAGTATCTTGAAAAATATCTAGTCAAATATTACATGCTGTCATCATGAAAAAGATCAAATAAATCAGTTATTAGAGATGAGTTATTAAAACTATTATGTTTACAAATGTGCTGAAAAAATATGCTCTCTGTTAAACAGAATATGGGGAAAAATAATATAGGGGGTCTATATTAAAATAATTGTTAAAAATAATTCAGGAGGACTAACAATTCTGATTTCAATTGTATATATTAAATAAAAAATACGTATTACACTTTTATAATAAAATAATAATAATAAAATTAAAATTATTATTATAAATTATTATTATTATTATTATTATTATTATTATTATTATTATTATTATTATTACCAATAATATTAATAGTAATAGTAATAGTAGTAGTAGTAGTAATGTCATCATTACACTCTTTAAAAAAATCATGTTTTGGTTTAACCCAATATTGAGTCAAATATAGACAAACCCAACCTTTCTGCTAAAAAAAAAAGTCATTTAAATTGAATTGAAACAAATAACCCAACATTTTTTCGTATTTACATTGTAGAAATTGTCCTCAATGAAATCAATACGTTTGTTTGAGAAAGAGAGGGAGGGAGAGAGAGAGCTGGTCCTCCCTGTTCTGGCCGTGGAGAGGCCGATGAACAGATGTAAGCTCATTTGGACAAATGTTGGTGAAGTCTGTCCTCTCTCCGCCTGATGTCCATCCTCTGGGCGTTTGGGCTTTGAAATCGTTTCCTCAATCACATGCAATCACATGCTTAAAGAACCAAACCAGATCCTATCCCCCTCACTTTCAGGTTCAAGCGCTCTATCAAACTGTACAGGGTGGCTCAACGAATGCTACTCATAAACATAAAAATTGCTAAAGGTGCTGGATGTACGTTTTTTGAAAGCGTAAACATACCAATAAAATGTATGTAAGGTATTTCAGAAACATGCTTAATGAACATTCTTGTTAATCTGAAAAGCAATGCTGAAGGAAGATATTCTGCTTTGAACTTGTGCGTTATTTGCCAGAACGCCTGTCTTTATTTTGGTCTCTTTAACCAGCCCAATGCCAGTTTAGCCAGATATATTTCAGCACACGGGTTGCCTTGGTGCAAAACAGCGTATTTCATTCATTCAGTCAGGAAGACTCTCAAAGTGTGTGTCCGTAACCAAAATGTGACGTCCGGTGGACAGCCTCCGAAATGAGAAGCAGATTCAGAGTTCCACACGAGGTGGTTATTAATAAGCAAATGATATAAATATTACGAACGTAAACATTAGGTGAGCAGGTTGCATTGTAACCCTGTGTCCTAATAACAGGCTACCTGACGAGATTTGCAGCGGTAAGCAATTTGGCTAAACACGGCAGAAATGTAAATACAGCCATTCAGAAGCACAGAACAGTGCACTCACTGCACTTTAGCGAAATGGTAAGGTTTATAATCTAATGAATACATATTAAACATTTACATTATTTTAAAACTTTAACATGATTAAATGTACTCAGAAAACCTTTCTCCACTGGAGCTTTCCTGAAGATATTCAGTAAATCAAGTTATGTGTAAAAGTAATGTCAGTATGTGTTTTAAAGGACGTTTTATCTCGTAATTCACACAAAAACCGAACCAGATCCTATATAGCAGTGTTCGCCTTGGCCGATAGCTGGGATTCTGAGTCTGAATGTATATCAGTATATGTTCTAACTGAAATGCCACACAGTTTATTGAGTGATTGGATTTGTGTGTGCATGTCACAGGATTCTCACATTGTGTACATTCCTGATGGTGTGTTGAATGATAAGTACTTTGAATGCGGGAAGTCATGCACTCACAGACTGCACTGTAGGTGTGTTGGAGTCACATCACTCATGGGGAAAGTTAAAAAAGAATGTCTAAACTTTTCAATCTCAAGTAGAGGCATCAGCCAATCGGATTGTGACCTTATGCGAAAACCTTAGCCCATGGGTGACCAACCCTGTTCTTGGAGATCTACCTTCCTGCAGATTTCAGTTCAACACACCTGCCTGTAATTATCAAGCGCTGCCCTAAGTAATTGGTTCAGGTGTGTTTGAACAGGGTTGGAGCTAAACTCTGGTGGAAGGTAGATCTCCAGGAACAGGGTTGAGCAGCCCTGCCCTAGTCCTAGTGTTTCCAGTGAACTCCTGCGTCATTACAAAATCACCACATTTAAGATCTGATTTCATTAAATATCGATAATCTTCACTGCATGATTGATATATGACATACCCAACCCAGTCTCATTTTGAAAACGTAGTCTAGCGGACGTTTCTGGAGACCGCGAAATACGTTCTGGGGGGTACGTTTTTGTGCAGTTTTTGTTTTCGCAAATACGTTGGAGGCCGCTGTGTGCGCTTTTTCGTATCTCGAACGTCTCTGCCGCGTTGTTCTGGCATCAACCCACCAGAGGCCGCTGTCTGACTGACCGCGCGACTGGCCAATCAGCTGACCCACCCTCCTCCTTCCCTGAACCCAACCAGTTTTACCGATTGACCCGCCTGCCCGCTTACTTCCCTAAACCCAAGCAACAATTTAAAAAAGTCATCTAGAAAAAGAAAAGCCCTCGTCTGTTTTTTCACCACGCTTTCGGATTTCACCACGCTCTCACCCTGTTATGAACTCGTTCACTTTATTTTTGGATTCTGTTTTTGTTTTATCTGATTTCTGGAACCGCTCTTCCCCGTCCTTAAACCTGCTCGCTGTGGTCAACTCCTCTCTGCATCTGAAGTCCGCTGACGCACACGATGAGCTGACTAGAAAAACTGACTGCAGCGGGAAAGCCCTCCACACTGAGGTAAGCGGTCAGCCGGCAAGCGCGAAAGGGAACGGCGTCACACCGGCCCGTAGTGTTCGCTTAAAAAAATGAAATGCACCCATACGTACCTCCCGGGACGTATTTCGCGGTCTCCAGAAACGTCCATGGTACTACGTTTTCAGAATGAGCCTGGGTTGGACATACCGTGGCTCTCAGACCAGACCAGAAGCACTGCATTGAGTTACATTTTCCCGCCCCATGTCTTTAAAATATGAACATTTGTTTTACGACAGTGTTTTCAATAGTGTTTTTGCACTCGCCTGCTGCTCCTGACGGTGCTTGCATTTAAACAACTTTTCATCTTATTTTACACTTGAACAACTAAATGATTGCTGAAGTTAGGTTATAGCTATAAAGTTAAAAGGTCATCAGTTATTGGCTGCTGGCTAGACTCACTTAAATGAGCTCATTCATTAGCCTTTATGACAGTCTGATGCAACAGCAGTCTTTTGCAACGGAAGTCTATGGGACAGTTTCTAGGGTCCCAAAAGTGGTTGTTAGGGTGTGGCTAGAAAGTTAAAAGCTCATCAGTTATTGGCAGTTTGGCAGTCTAAGTTAAATAAACCCAGTTAGAAGTTTGTGTGACAGTCTGGCGCAGAGTTATGAGCTCACAATGTTTGGTCCAATGTTACGTCTATGGGATTTTTCCGACAGTCCCGGGACGTTTTTTGGAAAACCGAAAGTCGGATCAGTCAGAAAAGATATAGCAATCTGAGTCAGAATAGTTTGGAGGTCTGGCTTGAGTTTGGTGGTCATAGCTCAAATAGCTCTACTTTACTGACTGCATTTTAACCACATTACAACATCGATGCTGTTAAAGGAACCTAATGAAATTGAAAACAGTCATATAAACCTTTCACCAGAAGTTTATCATTGGCTGGAAAACACTAGCACTAGCACACAAACATATAGCCTGTTGTGTCACTGTGACGTTTACGTTAGCTGCATATTTTAATAATCTCACCTGTGTTTCCTCTGTGGTTTTCTGATCCCCCTCAGGCTCATACATGATGGTGGACACCTCGCAGCACGATTATGGAGAAAAGGCTCGTTTGCAGCTGCCCGTGATGAAGGAAAACGACACCCACTGCATTGACTTCAACTATCTCCTGTACTGTCCGGACGGCTCCAGTCCCGGGACGCTCAATGTTCTGGTGAAGGTCAATAAAGGGCCGCTGGCGAACCCTATCTGGAACATCACCGCCTGCACCGGCAAAGACTGGATGAAGGCGGAGCTCGCCGTAAGCACCTTCTGGCCCAATGAGTATCAGGTATGCAAATCACTCAGCCAATCAAAGCATGGGGCTCGTATTCTGTAGACAAGAGCTGCGTTAAAAGTGGAAGTAACCACCTAAAAGTAATGTTCTATGGAGTTTATTTGGATCATCATTAGCTATTCCTTGAGCCATTACTAGTCTTCCGGAGGCCCTACGACACCTAAAATGCACACATTATTCCATACATAAGAAAATGAAGTACATACAACAAGAACAACTAGATTAGAAACGTTCGTCAAGAAACTTTGAGGCTGACTTGACAAATCCTGTTGGTAATAGTTAATTTAGTTTAAAACAGTTTGAAAAAGTATGGATAGATAGATAGATAGCATGCTATTAGCATGATTCTAGCATGGATTAGCATGTTATAAGCATGATTCTAGTACAAACTAGCATGTTATTAGCATGATTCTAGCATGTTATTAGCATGATTCTAGCATAAATTACCATGTTATTTGCATGATTCTAGTACAAATTAGCATGTTATCAGCTTGATTCTAGAATAAATTTGCATGTTATTAGCATAGTTCTAGCATGAATTAGCATGTTATTTGCATGAATTAGCATGATTCTAACATGAATTAGCATGTTGTTAGCATGATTCTAGTACAAATTAGCATGTTATTAGCATGATTCTAGCATGAATTAGCATGTTATTAGCATGATTCTTGTACAAATTAGCATGTCATTAGCATGTTTCCATTATTTCCAGTGTTTATCATATGAGTATTTATAAGTATTTGATAGCACAGCTAATCACAGTCTATACGACAGTTGCTAGGGTGACATATGTGGTAGTTAGGGTATGGCTATAAAGTTAAAAGGTCATCAGTTATTGGCTGCTGGCTAGACTCACTTAAATAAGCTCATTCATTAGCCTTTATGACAGTCTGATGCAACAGCAGTCTTTTGCAACGGAAGTCTATGGGACAGTTTCTAGGGTCCCAAAAGTGGTTGTTAGGGTGTGGCTAGAAAGTTAAAAGCTCATCAGTTATTGGCAGTTTGGCAGTCTAAGTTAAACAAACCCAGTTAGAAGTTTGTGTGACAGTCTGGCGCAGAGTTATGAGCTTACAATGTTTGGTCCAATGTTACGTCTATGGGATTTTTCCGACAGTCCCGGGACGTTTTTTGGAAAACCGAAAGTCGGATCAGTCAGAAAAGATATAGCAACCTGAGTCAGAATAGTTTGGAGGTCTGGCTTGAGTTTGGTGGTCATAGCTCAAAAGCTCTAGGAGGAGATAGAGTAAGAGTTTTTGTCTCAGAAGAAGAATTAAAAAAAAGATTATTAAAGTTTGATAGATAGATAGATAGATAGATAGATAGATAGATAGATAGATAGATAGATAGATAGATTAGCATGTTATTAGCATGATTCTAGCACAGATTAGCATGTTATTAGCATGATTCTAGTACAAATTAGCTTGTTATTAGCATGTAGTGTTATTTGACAAGCCAGCCTAATTATTAAATTGCAATACGTCACCGTACATAATTCCCACTTATTCAGTATCACAAACGTCTTCAATAAAATATGGGCAGCACTTCAATTTAGGTAACAATTCACATTATTTACTACTTACAAAATAATTTAATGTTATTGAAAAAAATAATAAGTAGTTATTACGAGGCACTTTCTGCTTTAGTTTTGGTTTTGCATCCAGAATATTTGTTTTCAGGTTTGTTCCAGATTTTCTTCTTTATTTCAGTGCGTCCCTATGCCTATTTTGTCCCACAGTACCATTGTATAGTTTGTATGTAAGTGTGTTTAGGGGAAGTTTTTAGTTCATCTCATATGGTCAAGGAGAATCACTGATGCTAAAGTCAGCTTCATGTATTCTTCAGAAGACCTTTACTAAGCTGGAAATGTTTTCTGGTGTTTTCGCAACACATGAACTCTGTGTGCTGACACATTTCTGGCGCTGAGCCAAAGTACGAGGAACAAAATCACAGCGGATGTTTGGCTTGTAGGTGGTTGAAGTGTGTCCGCAGAGCTGATTCATGTCATTCTGCACAGTAACCGCTCTCATTACTCCTTTCTCACATGTGACACGGGGATTGTTTGAGTTTTCTGCAGGTGAAATCAGTCTGTGGAGCGGTTTCATGGCTCTTTTGTTTCACAGTACAATAGCTGCTCATTCTCCTGAGGTGTTTGAATGGAATATTTGTTAATACACTGGAATGGCTGCGTACAAATGGCAGCTCGGTTTCGTTGCCGGTTCACTATAGGAGAGCTTAATTCTATTTCTGTTGAGTTTCATTAATGCGAGTGTGTTTAACAACAGAATGATCACCTGAAAAATGCAGGTAATGATAGTCACATTTACACCAATTATGCATAGAAAAAAGGCTGTGTTTCACTCTCCCTACAGCTGTCTTCATTGCACAGTGGGGCAGCTTTCACACTGGACGCAGAAAGCCCTGTCCTGCACTATAAAACCCATTCATTTCAATGGCTTTCACTCAAAGGTGGTTTGTTGTTTGTTTTGTTCGTTCGTTCATTTTCCTTCGGCTTAGTCGCTTATTTATCAGGGGCCACCACAGCAGAATGAACCGCCAACTATTACAGCATATGTTTTATACAGCAGATTCCCTTCCAGCCGCCACCCATAACTGGGAAACACCCATACACTCTCACATTCACACACACACAGTCATACACTATGGCCAGTTTAGTTAATCAATTCACCTAAAGTGCATGTGTTTGGACTGTGGGGGAAACCGGAGCACCCGGAGGAATCCCACACCAACACAGGGAGAGCATGCAAACTCCACACAGAAATGTCAACTGACCCAGCTGGGACTTGAACCAGCAACCTTTGTGCAGAGGGGCGACAGTGCTAACCACTAAACCACCATGCCTTCCTGTCAAGACATTTTGACTCATTCATATGATTATAAGAATGGCAAAATTAATAAACTCAAAACAAAAGTTAAACCCAAACGCTACATTACTGTATACTTTAACTTCATAATATGTATTATTATTATTATTATTATTATTATTATTATTATTATTATCATTATTTTTAATTGTTAATATATTTCGTTATTATTATTATTATTATACTTATAATAATAATTATTATTATTATAATAATTATTATTATTATTCACTATTATTATTATTATTGTTATTATTCATTATTATTCATTATTATTGTTATTATTATTCACTATTATTATTATTATTATTATTATTATTATTATTACTTTTCACTATTATTATTATTCATTATTATTATTATTATTATTCATTATTATTCATTATTAATGTTATTATTATTCACTATTATTATTATTCATTATTATTCATTATTAATGTTATTATTATTCACTATTATTATAATTCATTATTATTCATTATTATTGTTATTATTATTCACTATTATTATTATTCATTATTATTGTTATTATTATTCACTATTATTATTATTCATTATTATTGTTATTATTATTCACTATTATTATTATTCATTATTATTATTATTGTTTATTATTATTAAAATAGTTTTAGCTCTAAGATGCTTTAGAAGAACATCTTGTAGTAGTAATACGTGGATATTGCTAACACTTCAATTCACAACCTCTCTGTCTACCAAGGTTCATGTAAAATAATTGCCCACAATAAACGCACAGCTAAAGTAGTTCCGGCAGGTTTAGTTCCATGTCTTGATACATTGTTTGAGGCAGCCTTCATGACTGAAATGAAATGCACTGTTTCCCACCATCTGGCAACCCGGGCTTCTAAAGTATAATTGGGTAAACAGGCAGTGGGCGGAGTCACAGAGATCAAAACAAAGACAGACGTTCCAACACGGAACGCACATTCTCAAAGCAGAATATCTGACTTCAGCATGGCTCTCCAGATAAACAGGTGTGCTCGCCTAGCGTGTTTCTGAAATATCTGCATATTATGAAATGTGTATGATCTCTTCTATTGTTTAAATCAGTGATGAATATGTGTGTGTGTAATCTGACTGGTTATTCTGCTTTTGTGTGTGTGATCTGACTCGTTGTTCTGCTTTAGTCTGTCTGTGCATGTGTGTGTGTGTGTGTGTGTGAGACACTGAATACTGAAAGCCTCCGTCTGTGTTCAGCCTAATTGGGAGTCCTGGATGATCTGGTCTCTCTCTCTCTCTCTCTCCCTCTTCTGAGTGTTCAACAGTGTGACTCTACAGTCTCTGCTGCGCTTGCAGCACTCTTTACAGTGTCCGCGTGTGTGTGTTGTAATGTAAACACACCTGCGGGTGAGCTCATCACTCGTCCCGCTCTGAGGATTGAGCAGACTGGGATTAATATTATTATGTGAGCAGATAATGGATGTAGGCTTGTCACGGTATATGAAAGTGAGCTTGATTAATCTTTGGTGCTGCAATGTGTTGGAACAGATTTTAAAATACATATATACAACAATAACACACACTCATTCACGCGCTCACACAAACACACTCTCTCTTTGAGCAACAATATCGCAATGTGTGCATCATGTGTTATACAATGATGACCACATCAAGATTATAATAATTTGGGATTTTTAAACACTTCTAGAAAACCGTAAAGCTCTGATTATTTCATATTTTGTTATATTATATTATATATTTTAATCATATATTGTTATTTATTATAATTCATGCAGATGCACTGCATAGAAAAACACACACACCCCTCAGTAACACACACACACACACACCCTCCTCCTGATTCCTAATGCCACACATTTGTTTGCGTCCTCAAAGCACATTATTGAAGAGCACATCACAGGCCAGAGGATCCGCAGCAGAGCACGAGTCTTATTATTCTGGCTCAGAAGAAATGAAAACGCGTCCTCCTCTGGAGTGTGTGCAGTGCGACGGGACGCTCGATCATTCAGCAGAGCTGAAGGATGACCAAAGAAACACTCCTGCGTCCCGCACACACTCACTCATTCCTTTTGACGCCAGTAATGGCGGAGCTCGTCTCTGGCGTGATTTCACACGAGCTGACACTGAATTATT